AACCAAGCTCTCCATATGCCAAGCCTGCATGCATATTTGCACTTGGGAAAACAAAAAACAAAACAAAAAAACCTTAAGAACAAAGTTTAAAATAGAAACTTCTTAAATTTGTGAAGAATTCCTATGACTTGACACTTTGTCACAGCAAAGGAATGTGCGGATTATATCATGTAAATCTTACTGTTGCGTTCTAAAGGACTTGGCAACTGCTTATCATTAATCTTTAACACAAAGAAGATTCAAATCTAACTACAAGTAAGACAATACCTTTGAAGGGCAATTTACAGCATCCCCCTCCCCCCAAAAAACTGTTTAACCTAATGGGTAGGCCTATATGGATCACAATAATGCATCTCCAAATATACCAGCATTCAGTCTACCAAGTCACATTTCTCACGAAGTCTTGCACCAATCCAAAGAGACCTTATGGACACAGAACAGGCACGAAACGGCTGGAGGGGTGGAAAATAATCTCCAAGCAAATACGACCACATAAAGGTTCAGTCTCTTAGACAAACGGGGAGACGGAGACACACACACACACAAAGGAATTACTAACGTATGGCTCGATGTTTGCATCTGAACTAACAAATCCTAAAAACAATATATTCACCAATGCTGGGGGGGGGGGAATTTTTGCCTCTATTGATTACACAGGGAAAAACCCAGCTGCTGCTGCTGCAATGCAACACACGCCGATAAAAGGGCAGCGCTTCTCCCTCCCCGCCTTGGACACGGGATCGCGAGTAGCCTCTAGCCCCCCAAAAAGGACGCGCCAGGAGCTCACGAGCCGCCCCTCGCGCCACACAAATCACGGGGACTCTCTCTATTTACGGACAGCCGCGCCCGGCCCGCTCGCTCCCCAAGGCGCCGGGCGGGTTGGCCATTATCCCTGCGGAGCCAGCCCTGCCCTCGCCGGCCGGGCCGGCGCCCGAACGCCCCTGCCGGGGAACAGACACAACGGCTGAGAACCAATGGCCCCCAGGGTGTTTTCACAGAGCAACAAGCCAACGGCGCAGGAGAACCCGCCCCTGGAACAACGCCCCCCTCCCCATAGACCCACGGGCTGCCCCCCTTCTCGGGCCTCCTCCCACCGGAGATCCCCACAGCGCACCCCATGCAAACACCACGGTGCGGGGTGGGGCGATGAGCCCCGGGGCGGCCGCTCACCTCATGGTGCTACCCGGGCCGGGGAGCCACTCTCCCCCCCTCCTCTCGAGCCGGTGCTTCAATGGGCAGCGAGTCCCTGAGTGCGAGCGAGTTCTCCGTTCAGCCGCCGGGTCGGGCCGGGCCAGACCCGACCACAGCGGGGAGCCGGGGGTGAGGGGAACGAGAAGGAACAAACCAACTCGCGGAGTAGGGGAAAGTGGAAGGGACGGGAGCGCCTGCACCAGCGCGCGGGCGTCTCGAGACACCGGCTTGCTTGAGAGGGTGGGGGGCGCACGGCCGCACGCAGGAGACGCGCTGGGCGGAGCGGCGACGCCACGCCCACTACTGGTCTGCGTTCAGTGCGGATTCTAAAGAGGGGAGAGAGGGATGTGAAGCAATTGCGGGAAAAACGAACGGGGTTAATGTGCTTTCGCGACCCCTATTGGGTAGTTGTGGTCCTTCTGCACACGTGTATAGCGTAGGGGGTCCTGTGCCCACAAGCACTCCACGTAGTAGTGCTGAATCCTCCCGTGCTTTCTATGCAAAACAGAAGTTCATGTAGTGTATGTGACCACTTGGTACTCTCCCTCTATACTTGCCTTGTATGCTTACTGTTCAAACCCCAGGTGATTTCTCTGCACAACTGCATTGCATATACTGTTGAACCTTCTTACAGCCCTCTCTACACATCACTGCATTCATTACTAGTGAATACTGTGGTGGTTTTTCTGCATATGTGTATTGCATTCATTGATTTCTCTGGTTGTTCCCCCCCCCCTACCCTGCAATCCAATGATCAATGCTCCACTTTTTCTCCTACACAGATGCATTATAATTCATCTCTCCCTTGGTCCCTGTGAATCTGTGATATGCATCTACATGATGTTCCCCTGAATACCACTGAGTTTTTTTGCCAGTTGTGAACACATTAATTCCCCTTGGAGATTCTTCTGTGGCCTCTTTATGCCAGCTCTGCCACTGCAAAGTGCCATAAAGCCCAGTGAACTGACAATATAGGAAGTTTCTGGATAATAGACATCCCACCACTGAGCTCTATCTCCTTCTCTTGAAGCCCCCTCCCCCCCACACACACCTAGGGGCATGGTAAGGTCAGGGAACCAACAGTACACTCACAGAGGGCCATTACAGCTGAATATAAATTAGAGCAGCCCTCAGGCAATGACTGGATCAGTCCACATGGTCATTTCCACCGCTGCTGAGGCTTAGCTCAGCCCCAACTAAAAAAGGGAATCATTAATTTTAATTCCCTCCTCCCTGAAATCCATGGAATTGTTTCTTGCCTATCACACCTGGCATAGCATCAGGGTTTAGGGAAAGCGGAGGACAGTCAATTACATTTACAGAGTCTTCTTTACAGGTAAGGGGGCCCAATCAAATGACTTTGCAAAGCCCCCTTAGACTTTGCAGATTTGATTGAACCAGTCTTGCACATATCATTATTAGGGTTTCCATCCCTCCAGGGTTGTCCTGGAGTCTCTAGGCATTAAAGATTATGTCATCTGATGAAATCTCCAGGAATATGTCCAACCAAAATTGGTAACCCTTGTCACTATACCCAATTCTTTCTTCAACACTTTCTCTACTTAAGGCTTGATTCAGCCACATTTTCTTATGCTGAGTAATCCTTTACTCCACAAGTAAAGTTGTAGAATTAGGCCCTTAATTTTTCAGGGACGTGTACAATCAGGGCAGTCTACTAAATTAAGTCTACAGGTTTAATTATTCCATGCTTTTGTAATTCTTCTAATTACCTTTCTATGCTCCCATGAGCATAAGGTACAGGATGTGATTTTAGAAAACTGGGATTATTTCAGTCTCATGAACATTTCTGTTACATGTTTTAGTAACCACATGTCTATACTAAAAACACATGGTATACAGAACTTCCATCAATTCTTGTTCAGACAATTTCTGTCAATCACTGAATACCCATTCTCTCCCATCTCAGGTATCTGCAGGTACATTAATACCTTTACTGTTTTCTAGCCAAGGGGGTGGGTGGTTGTTTTCTTTTCTTCCCCTTCCAACAAACAAAAATCAAATCACACCAGTTTCTCTAATTTTTAAGATTAGGAACATTTAGAGGAAACATTTCTTTAAAAATTACATATATCATGGTCACTCTATACATTTCTGTTCTCATTTTCACATAATTGATATTTACTTTAATCCACTTGAAAGCATTTAAGTCACATTTATTTCACATTACACAGCCACCTCTTCACTGGACAGCACCATTTCTTAAACAGATTCGTCCATAGTCAGATAACTAGTCCAGAGATGGAGTAAGAGGGGAGAGAGTGAAGAAATATATTGACCATCTGTTATAAAACAGATTAAGAAAAGGAAAGAAGATCTGAAACTGAAGCTTGTGACCATGGATGTGGAAGGAAAATTATTATACTTCTATTGGCATGAAGATTATGTAAATGAAAATTTTACTGTAGAGGCAAATCACAAATGCAGATGAGTAATCAGAAGACAAACAAGTATCAAATATCCTTCCCAACAGATAGGTAACTTTGGCCACAACGTAAACACAGACTGAAAAAATGGACTAATTTGAATCTGACAAAGAAATCTGTTTACTGTTCTTTGATTACTGCTCTAAATGCATGTAGCTCTCAAAACTAACAAACACAAGCAGTAGAATGGAGATCACCTATACTAAAATCACAGTTTGCAAGGCATGAAATACTACAGGTTCTGATTGCTGATAATGGACCCCAATAGTTAAATACATTATTTCAAGAATTCACTAAAATGTGAGATTATCACCAAAATATCCTCAGAGCAACAGGATGGCTGAGAGAGCTATTCAGACAGACAGTGAAAAGTCTCTTGAAGTCAGCCAACCATAACAATAAGCATCTGTATTTAGTTGCACTGGATTTAAGAATATACCAAGAGAAGGAATGGCATCACCTTCACAGATGGTAATGGGCAAATTAACAAGGATGTTGCTTTCTACAGGAGCTCAGTTATTCCAAACTAGAGGAAAAACAGAATTTGCTAATAAAACCAAATGAAAGGTAAATTAAACAAAATTTGAGTACGAGAGACCCCGGTTTGTTGAGAGTGTTTAATACCTGCCAACCACCTGCAACAATCTGGTCAATTGTCCTGAATCAACCTGCCATTTATGCAAAAATGACCAAAGAAACCTTGCAAAAGGGCTATTCCAGTATTCTGCATGTTGGTGGTAAATGTAAAATTGGTGCCTGGAACATCAAAACACATTCTGAAACAGTTAAATCAAGCAATTGAAAAGTCTGAACATTGATATCTGTATTTTATCTAAACTACACTGGCCAGGAGTGGTGAAAAGAAAGTTGAGGATTATCCTTTTTTGTTCTCAGGCCATCCCGACAGGTTTTCCAGCAAGGAATGGCCATTGTACTTTCACCCATTGCCCAACAGGCACTGCAGGGATGGCAGTTGATTAAGAAGTGACTTTTCAGCAGCCAATTCCATAATGGCTGCGGACATCTTACCATCGTTGCCATGTGTGGTCCAACCAAGGCCTATAACGTAGCTGAAGATATTTACCAACAACTGCAATCAATCCATAATGAAACTCTGAGAAGAGATGTCATCATGATCCTGGGCAACTTTAATACACAAGTAGGAAAGGATAGTGACCTGCACAAGTACTCTCAGGAAGTTTGGTATCCAGCAGATGAACAGAAATGGGCAACTGATAGAATTTGCAGCTGCCAATAATATGGTGATTGCTGATTCACTCTTCCATCACCCAAGATTCACAAACAGAGCAGGTACAGCCCAGATGGTTTCACTAGGACTGTTAATGAGGACATGATCAGTAACAATCATTGGTGATCAACAGTCACTGATGTATGGGTTCGCAGAGACAAAAATGTGTCTCCTACTTTGAAAAGAAAAAAAAAAATGGGCTGAAATTAGTCTGATTCAGCTCTTCTTACAACCAAGCTATCAAATGGCTTTCTGTTCTGAACTCCTTAGGGCGATCAAAGCATTAGAGACTGAAATCTCTCTCCCTCCGTCATCTGATGAGAAATGGTGTTTCAAGTCATCAGGGCTGATTGCTGCCAGCTCAGCTCTGGGGCCTTTGCCTTCCAAGGTCACCCATGGATCAGTGAAGAGACAGATACAATGGTTGAAGCGGAGAAAAAAAGTGAGGGTACAGTCTGAGTCTTCAGAGACACGTTTGTCAAGAGCAAAAGCAAAGGCTAAATGGGTTCAATTTCAGAGCATCAAGTTTTGTGTTTTAAAAAACAAACAAACAAACAAACAAAAAAACGAGAGAGAGAGAGAGAGAGAGAGAGAGAAGGAATCGTGGGCTGATTAAGGCAGCCAGTTTAAAACAAGCTGCTGCCAGACACAAGCTACACATCCTTTACTCAATTATGCAGTGTTTGTGAAGGAAAGTGCCACCAGCTTATTCAGCATGGAACTGAGATGGCAACATCAGCCCAAATCTGAAGGACCAATTGCATCAATGAGACGATCATTTCAAAATGTTCCTCAACTATCCATTCCCCGCAGTCCCTCTTCCATTTGAAGTGCCACCTTACTCAAATTATGACCTGACACTTGGTGATGGTGTTTATATGGTTCCGTTTATTGTTTGCCATTTTGGTTTGTAAAGAACAAATAGTCCGCCTTGTTGAACAGACTTCTTGTTCCTTTCAGGAAAGAAAAGGCGGGAAATCTAGTGGCTTGTTGCTAGGCAACGGGAGGGATTATATAGGCTGGGAAAGAGCAGGAAAGTTCCTTCTCCCTTCTGCTCTTTTCTTGGAAAGAAGGGAAGCAATCAGACACCAGTTATCCGCCTAGAAAACAGCTCATCTCCGAATGGAAAAAGATCTAGTTTATTGTTGGGGTTTATTATTTTAAGGAAAGCATCCATCCATCCATGGGGTTTTACCTTGAATGGTTAGGACTCTTACCCCCAGACAGGACGTCGCAAGGGGGTTAGGGTGGGAAGTTAGTTAGGCCTCTTACCTGATTCTTCATAGTCATTCATCGCCATTCTCCGCTGCAGTAGCTGTTCCAGTGGTGATCGTGGTCCGGTGGGTCGTTGTCATCTATCGAGTCCTGGTCTCAGCAGCAGCATCTGAACAGGGTATAAAGAGCAGTCATCACTTACCACCTTTTGTAATTCCTGTGTGAAAGAGTACATGGTTATAAATCTGTTCAGTATTATTAATCCTCTCTCCCATTCCTTTTGTTTATCCTATTCCTAATTCCCTAGTTAATAAAAATCAGTTGTGGTCTCTGTAATTATTTTAGATAAGCTCTGATAGACGGACTATACTGAGGGAATCTTGAAGTCTTCTGTTGGCTCCCCGCAGTTTTCTGGAAGTAGGGTCCTGGAATAAACTATAAAAAACTAACACCGCCTTCCTTCAGCCAAGAAGAGATGTGCATCACAGTCCATAAGTTGAAGTCTGGGAAGGCAACAGGAGTTTGTAACATTACCCTGAGGTGCTGAAAACAAGTGAGAGTATGTGTAGTGCCATGGCTATAGGCTCTTCTAGACCATCTGCTGTACTAATACCATCCCTGATGACTGGAAGAAGGTTGTTATTCTGCCTCTGTTCAAAAAGGGCAATAAGGCCAAATGCAGCAACTATAGAAGTATTACACTGTTGTCAGTCCCAGGGAAAGTCTTTCTTTCCATGTCAATGTCCTGAATCAACAATGCCCTTCATGACAAAGGCCAGGATACTCAGGGCAACTTCAGACCTGGCCATTCCACTGTCAACTAGATCTTTACCTGGAGACAGCTTTTTGAGAAGATGGCTGCATTTCATAAGCCATGAGCAGCACTTTTTATAGACTTCCATCAGGCCTTTGATTCAGTGCATCAAGCAAGTTTGTCGTATCTGATGAAGTGACTTGGCATACCTGGGAAGATAGTGACAATGACAGAAGAGTTCTATAATGGAAAAACAAAACAAAACAGAAGTGGTTCAGTCAATGCCAGATTCATAGATTCCAAGGCCAAAAGGGACCACTATGATCATCCAGATAAGACTAAATTGCTGGCCATTATCATCAAAGAGCCTCCAGCTCCAGATTACAACCTGCTCAGTATTAACCTGCCCAGACAGAATATTGAGCAGGTGGCAACTTTCAGGTCAGTAGTGTCATAAACAATGCTGGAGGATGCTTGGAAGAGGTGTACACTGCTGCCATGTTTTGGGCCCTTCAGTTGCCTCTGTAGGGCTGTTGTGACATAATGTTTGCTATGAAGCTCTGGGTCTATAGAACCAGTTATACTGACTCTGTTGTACAGCAGCGAAACATAGGCACTGAGGAAAGCTGAAGAACACTGAATTATGCTTTTAAATTCTCATTGTCAGTTGCTCCATATCAAGTAGCAGGACAAGATCAGAAACGAGGATATTCAAAGCTGGTTTCAGCAACTTTATTGGTACAGACTCATTAGAATGGGAAGACCAACAAATTAAAAGAATGCGTACAAAGGAATGCCACTATAAAGCTGGCAATAATGTTGGCATCAAAACCTTCAGTGGCATGAAAGGATTACCAGAGATGGATGTAAACTGAATATCCAACCAGACCACCTTGCCAGAGATCGATCTGGATGGTGCTTGATTTGCAAGAAGGCCACATTCCTTTGGGATCTGCCATCATGATGATCATGGTGGTGATATATAAAACTACTATTCAAAAGCACATCTAGGCAGCCAATCCACCTGAGAAGGGATGGCACAGCCAGAAGCCAGCAAAAGTTATCTCCACAGTAGAGCCACAATCATATAGTACAGAATCTTAAAAATGTAGGCCTGGAAGGGCCTTGAGAGGTCATCTAGTCCATCCCCTCACTGATGTGGAACCAGGTAAACCTAGACTATCCCCAAAAGGTGTTTCTTGTACCTATTCTTAAACCTCCAATGGCGAGGATTCCACAACCTCTCCTGGTAACCTATTCCAGTGCTTAACCATCCTTAGCATTAGAAAGTTTTTTTCCTAATATCTAACCTAAATCTCCCTTGTTGCAGAGTGCCCCCGAGTCTTCTTTTCTCAAGACTAAACATACCCAGTTTTTTTTACCTTTCTTCAGAGGACAGGTTTTCTAAGTCTATCATCATTTTTATTGCTCTCCCCTGGACTCTCTCCAATTCATCCACATCATTCCAAAAATGTGGCACACAAAATGATATGTTACTCCAGCTGAGGCCACACCAGTGCCAAGCAGAGCAGGACAATTACCTCCCAGGTCTTACATATAACACTCATGTTAATATGCCTGCCTAATGCCCAGCAGGAGAGAGAAGCCACGGCCCTGCACCTGCCAGGCACAGAGAACTCCAGGGCTGCGGGCGCCGGTGTTCTCTGTCCCTGGCAGGTGCGGGGCCCGTCTAGTGTCCAGCAGGGGAGAGAAGCCGGGGCCCCACACCTGCTGGGGACAGAGTACTCCAGGGCTGCGGGCGCCGGTGTTCTCTGTCCTCACGGCTTCTCTCTGGATTCATATATTATGTAATATTAAATATGATGTTTTTCATATTATTTAATGTACAAATACGAAATAAGCCTTGAAAAATTGTTGGCACCCGCCACACTCTTCTGAAAACATGAATGTGTTACTGGCCACAAAAAGGTTGGGGACCACTGCCCTAGACTGATATTAGCCTTTTTTGCAACTGCATCACAATGTAGACTCATATTCAATTTGTGATCCACTATAAACCCCAGATCCTTTTCTCCTGTACTACTGCCTAGCCAGTTATTTCCCATTTTGTAGTTGTGTATTCGATTTTTTCCTTCTTACATGTAGTACTTTGCATTTGTCTTAAGTGAATTTCATCTTGTTGATTTAAGACAAATTCTCTAATTTGTCAAGGTCATTTTGAATTGTAATCCTGTCCTCTAAAGCAATAAGAATCCCTCCCACCTTGGAGAGTATGCTTATAAAATTTGCAGATGACACCAAGTAATTAATGAAGATATTGACTAATACCAAACCTATGACAAACCCCTGCAGGACCCCACTAGATATTTTCCCAGTTTTACAGTGAATCATTGATAACTACTCTTTGATATGGTTTTTCAACCAATTTTGTACCACTAAATAGTAAATTTAATCTAGACCACTTTTCCCTAGTTTGATTATAAGAACATCATGTGGGACTGTGTCAAAAGTGTTACTAAAATCAAGATATATCACATCTACTATGCCAGTAACCCTGTCAAAGAAGGGAATTACGCTGTTTTGGCACTATTTGTTCTTGAAAAATCCATGTTGGTTATTCCATGTAACTATTATCCCCTAGGTGCTTACAAAGGGGTATTTAATAATTTGTTCCACTATCTTTCCAGGTATCGCAGTTAGGCTGACTGGTCTATAAATTTCTAAGGTGTTCTTTGTTCCCCCTTTTAAAAATAGGTATTATGTTTGCTCTTCTCCAATATAAAACATATTGTGGAAATGAACAGCAAGAGATACTACAGAAATAAATTAAGATTACTTGAAATACCTAAACAACCGTATATATATCTCCTCAATATATGTTCCATTCTATATGCATCCGAAGAAGTGGGCTGTAGTCCACGAAAGCTTATGCTCTAATAAATCTGTTAGTCTCTAAGGTGCCACAAGTACTCCTGTTCTTCTTTTTGCGGATACAGACTAACACGGCTGCTACTCTGAAACCTAAACAACCCAGATTCCTATTAATACAAGAGAAACAGGTGAAAGATTGATTCCTCAAGACAGAGTGAGCTGCGACAGGATCTGTAACAGTGCTAGAAACATCATTTCACATCTTGGACTCACAGAGGGCACCAAATACAGAGTTATTCTGGGGGATCAGCATTGTCAAAATAACCAAGCCCAAAAAGCACCTGGATTAAGATGTAACATAACAATCCTGCAATGAGTCATTAGCAGCCATATGCAGGAAAAACCTGACTGATTAATACAGGGTTAAAATAAACTACAATTGACGAGTTAATTGACTTTTCCTTTGCAGGTCACCTTTAAAGGTGCTATCATAGAGGAATTAAAGTAGTTTATTGGGGCGGGGGGGAGAATAGGTACATACGTTACCAGTATATAAGTATCTGCTACTGAAATTAGCATAAAAATATATTATGCCTCAGACTTTGCCTGTATATACACTAGAGAGCTAATCCTCAGATATATTAGGGTCATCCCTCTGTGTAGGGGGATCCACTGGTAGCGTAGAATTTGTGCCAATACCTCCTACATTGCCCCACCTACACCAAGTTCCTGTGGACAACACAAGGTCCTGGCCAGGGGGGAAAAATTATGTGACAGAAGCTTGCCCAGGCCCCAACAATCCCTGACTGCCATATAGATGTCTTGGGGCTATTAACAGCTCACAAATTAGAACAGCCTTCAGGCTGCTGGATTTGACGTCAAGGGATTAGACTGGTGCTCACCGTCCCCAGGATCAGAGGACTTCAAGATGGTTTAAAGCCACCTTTGCCTCCCTCTCCAGAGTTGTGCTTCTCAGCTATGGCTGAGGTTTGAGATCTAGATGTTACCAGAAGGCTAAGGGATCTCAATCTGAGCTGAGTGTCATGCCTTCTCTTCAACCAGCCTGACTCCTGGGAGCTTATTGGATACTAGAGACATGGCTCAATCAGGCATAAGCCTGTTTGAAGACCGAGTGTTTCTATTTAATATCAGCCAGCTGCAGGAAACTTGGCAGTCTACTCCTGAGGGCTGTTTGTGAGCAGACCCAACTGAGTCAGTCTCACAATAGTGTGGGCCACCTTCCATATAGGGTCATGAGGTGGAAGCATGACTCATGCTTTGGAGGCATCAATAATCCAGTCTGAATGCATCAAAGGAAGCCTGACTCTTTCAGGGAAATTTTCCCCCGTTTTCTCTGAAATAATTTCCCATTTTGAAATATTTGTTTCTTTGGGACTGTCACGGGGTCCTCTCACTGCTAGTGTGCCTCCTCTTGGTCACTCTGGGGTTTACCTGGTTCTAGGTCTGATGACTCCTTTCCGCCTCTTGCTGTGCACACTACCTTTTCTTCCTGGTTCTCAGCAAGGCAAGATGCTCAATGTTCGTGGCTTAACCCTCCAGCCAAGTCACACATGTCCTCCCCTTCTAGAATATCAAAGTCTCTTCTTATGAATAGGCTGAGGCAATCTTCCAATTCACTGGCCAGCTGATGCCACTTCTTCAATGGCTGGCAGGGGAACCCAAGCCCACCCTCTGCTCCAGATTCCAGCTCAAGGATCCTCTAATCTGCAGTCAAGGTCTGCTCCGTTCCGGACAGACCTTATCGCCTTTTCTATGAGCCTTTCCTAACCTTCTGGTTCCCCCCCTTTCTCTGGATTTGCCAACCTCAACACTCCCTCCTCCCAGGGGTAACTGTAGTCTACACTAGCTCTGTAGTCCCCAAACACACCTCCCTTCTCCCCAGGAGTGAACACAGAGTACTTTTTTGCAGTCTCCCCTCTGCTGCTAACTTCCTGTCTTTATAAACCCAGCCCAGCTCATTTCTCCTCAGCTGGGCTCCCTCTTTATTCAGTCAAGGGATTAGTTAAGCCACCCGATTCCTCTCACCTATGGCCTGTTTGGTTAACTGGCCCCCTTCTTAGCCTACATTAAGTCCTTCAGGGCAAGTGTGGGATGAACACCCCATCACAGGTTTGTGTGTATTTAAGAAAAAAAATGTGGCTAAGAATAGATCTTATAAGATACATGTCTCACTGTTCCAACGGTCCTAGGGCAGCAGTATTCATTCAAGGTCACTTCAGCCTTCTTCAGTACACTATAAACAGCACTATACTCAGTTTGAGAGATTTCTGGAGGTGGCGAAAATGGTTTGTTTATTTTCTCTTCTTTTGAAGGCTGTTTTTTTTTTTAATCTGTTTAGGATTTTTTTGGGGGGTGGGGTGGGGGGGAAAGACATTTGTTTGATTATT